CTCAAGAAGAGAACCATCCAATGGAGTAAGACGAATATTATAATCAAGAGGTGTGGAAGCTGTCTGGCAATCAGTGAGACCGGCCCGAGTAAGAAGATCAGAGGCATACTTGGCTTGAGACAAATAGAAGCCATCAGAGGAATCATAAATCTCAAGACCCAGAAAATAGCGAAGACGATCCAAACTCTTCATCTCAAAATATATTATAACCATATATACAAAATATATTCTAACAGTGGTGATAGAGAGGTCTTCTAGTCACACATTTATTTTTTGTGTATGCCAAACTTGATAATGGTCCGGCCATAGCAATCCAAAGGCCCGTCTCTCTAGAAAATGAATCTCATAATGTTTGATGCAATGGTAATCACTGTAATATTCATATGCTATCAATTGTTTTCATGATTGTCAAACAAAAGTTTCGTAATTTATAGTGGATAACTATATCCTGTTGACTTTTCCTTTATCCTGTTGAGAGAGTTTAGCCCTAGTCAAGAAGAGGGATATAAATATTGGAAGATACTACTCTCCCGTTACGGAACCATTCCATCAAGATTTATAACTGTTATATCAATTATTCCCGACGGAATAGTTCTGTAACGGGACCGTAGCATTTCGCATAAATATTACTTCTTAGCGATTATTATTTTTTTAAAGAAATAATAATTTCTTTCTAACTATATTTAGATGATTAACTATATTCTCTTTCTAATTTCATTTTCTTTTTTTTTTTTGGTACAAAGGAAGAAGGCCGGAGCCTAACACCTCTAGATAATTGTATTCCATGGATACACAACGCCAAAGACATTATGCGTTAACCACGGTTTGACTTCTATCGGTGGATCAAGTAGTCGCTGGCAACTATTAGGACATGAGTGGGCTAACGTCGCCAAGTAGTCCGTAACAAAATTTGCTTCACAATAACAGTGCACATTGTGCACTGTCCAATCTCGATGCACATCTCCCGAATAGTTCTAACTATCGCACCGTGCACCCCCCAACTCTCCACTGAGGTCCCCGTAACCATTTTGACTACACTTTGGTTGTCCACAACTGCGACAACGTTCCTATACCCCCCCAAATTCCAAGATATTTGGAGTCCTTGGAATAAACCCCATAGCTCGGCGCATAGTAGTATATACAATATTCATGACGAAGCCCCCAAGCCACTGGCCTCCATCATCTCGCACGAGTCCTCCCGCCGATGTCATACCCGTGGACTGAATGAAAGAGCCATCCGTATTAATTTTAACCAAATCGGCTGGTGGAGCACTCCAAGCGATCCATCAGATTTGTTGGTCGACACCCAATCCTCCCAAAATCCTCTCAGTCGATGATTAAAGGCAATGTTTTTTGCTATGTTTGGTAGACAGATAAGCTAGTTTATAGCTTATGTGGTTAACTTATAAGCTCTTTATATTCAAATAAGCCTTGTTTGGTTGGACAAACTTTTTTAAATAAATTCGAGCTTATTTGATAAGCCTCTTTAGGTAACTTTTCAAATAAGCTAGTTGAAATTTTTATTGCAGCTAGCTTTTCAGCTAATTTTACCAATATCATATAAGCTAACTTTTCAGCTATAAGTTACAAGTTATAAGCTTGAAAATAAGTGATAAGCTACAAGCTAGCTTATCAGTTAGTTTTACCAAATATAGCCTAACGAGGATAAGAGATTTTTTTTTTTTTTTAAACAACACCCCAGGAAGGTGGGGGATTAAGGCCGAATACCGAACCTGTATATAAAAAATTCCTAAATGGGCTGAAAAGTCACAAGACTACAAGTCCAATGTTTGATATACGTCAAGTCGAAAAAAAAAACCAAAAATAAAAGCAAAAATGTACAAGGAAAAGCTGACAACTGCAGGAGTAATAAAAAATAAGAAATTCTGGTCCAGGGAAAGTCTCGACGAAAAAGTCAGCATCACAGTGTGACAGATACGCCAAAAGGTAGGACCGGATACACAAATTTGAATGAAAGGTATCATATCTGGTCTATCCGTATAACAATGCGAAGACGAAAAATAATATCGTCAGAGTTGAGAATGCGTCTCTAGAGAGTAGAGGACCTAATGTCAGCGAGAAAGTCAGCAGGTCGTGCCTCTAAGACATTTAACTAACTGATATGTTGTTCGTATTAAATAATTGAGTTATTTGCCATAAAAACCCCAACTTTTTACCCATTTGCGAAAAAAACTCAACCTCTTTAAATTTGCAGATAAAATCATAACCTTTATTATTTGTTGTAATTGTGTCTCAAATTTTGTTTCCAGTCACATGGGCTGACATGGACCCGTCGGAAGAATGTGTTGGCGCCGGATTAATCTGATGTGGCACTCAACATTTTTAACTCGAGTCCACGTCAGCAACACGTAGGATACACCTCATTCTCCATATGACATTTCATTACATGAGGGAAAAAAAAAATCGACAGACGAAGCAGAACAGAAAGCCCCAAATCTGTTTCTGAAGATGCAGAACAGAAATCCCAAGAACGACCTGCGATTTTGAAGAATCCTTCAAAATCCCTCACTGCGATTTTGAAGCCGTCAATATCCATCTGATTCTGAAGCTCGGATTTCCCCCTTATCTGCGACGAAGATCGGGTTTTGACAGACGCTGCGATTTTCGGCTCAACCCTAGTTCAATTCGTCGACAGACGAAAGCCCCAAATCGGTCTCTTTTTGGTGAGCGAATTGCATCTCTCTCTCCGTCTCGTTTTTTAATTGTTGATTTGTCCTTCGATTTTGGTACTGCTGTTCATGAGTTTGTGGGTACTTCACCTTCGATTTTGTGGGTTCGTGAGTTGTTGGTTCGCAGTACTGCTTTTGTTGGTTCGAATTGTGGGTTCGTGAGTTTTTTCTTTGTTCAAATATGGTGGATTAGTTACATCTTATTCTTATTGATATTGTGTATTCTGGATGATGAAGATGAATCATCTATTATAAATGTTTTAAAGTTATGCTGAAGCAACTTTTATTTGTCCCACGGGTACACTCTGTCGATTTTTTTTTTTCCCTCATGTGATGAAATGTCATATGGAGAATGAGGTGTATCCGACGTGTTGCTGACGTGGACTCGAGTTAAAAATGTTGAGTGCCACATCAGATTAATCCGGCGCCAACACATTCTTTCGACGGGTACATGTCAGCCCATGTGACCGGAAACAAAATTTGAGACACAATTGTAACAAATAATAAAGATTATGATTTTATCTACAAATTTAAAGAGGTTGAGTTTTTTTTGCAAATGGAAAAAAGGTTGGGGTTTTTATGGCAAATAACTCTAAATAATTTTGTGATGTCGCTTTAAATTGTGAGACAAGCACATGTGATGGTCATAATAATTTAGATTGAGGTTGACAGGCCAAAATAATTTAGGTGTGCTCTTTTAGAATGTCAGATAATTGTTAGGCACGTTTATAATTAGAAAATTCTGTACTTTTTTCATATGTTCATTGTTAAATTGAAATAACTAGGAATCCTAAGGAGTTAATTGGCTCCGTTATGGAGCCAACAACCAATTGGATAGCTCCATATGGGGCTGTCTCACATTGAAACGATGTGAGACAACTCCACATGGAGTTGTCCCATTAATTGTTGGCTCCGTAACGGAGCCAACAACTGACTTCTTAGCATTATTGATGAAATAACATACTCCAAAAATAACATAACTATAATTATGATATTTCATTGCATAATTAAATATGTATTGTTAAGAAAAAAAATACGATTGATTGACAATAAAATGTAAATATGATATCACTTGATTGATATGAGAGATAGTTCGATCTTAAGCATACCCGATTTATTTTACATCCTGATATTATTCTTGCCCAAAAAATAAATCTTCCGTTAGTTAGTCAAAGATCTAACTAATCACCACGCCGCCATATGACTGACTGGCGGTTACTAGCGATTCCAGCTTCATACAGGCGAGTTGCAACCTGCAATCCGAATTGAGGCTAGATTTTTGGGGTTAGCTCACCCTGGCGGGAGAAACAGGTTGTCAAAGAAGATAAGGTACCTTTAACCCGGTGCAGTAGCAATATAAATGCAAGAATATTAACTTCCATAATTTTATTCTGTTACTTAAATAAAAGATAAAGAAACATTGGCGTTCCCATTATCTTAAAATAAAAAAAGAAAAGATTTTATTATTATTATTTTTTTTAAAAAAATTTATTACAAATGGTAAAAGAATTTTGAGAAATAAGAGAGCACACAATTTTCTATCCATTTTTCGTCACGACTGACGTAAGTGTAAATTCAAATAGTCATAAGTCCTTTTGGGTACATTTTCATATACATACCATTTCTCAATTTATGCATGTCATCCTTGAGTCGGACCATGTTAATCTTTTCTGTATCGTTTCAATTTTATCGGATGTCTCCGAAGGGACAACATACCAAACTATAATTGACAGTAAATATGTTGGTAAATAAATATAAATTAAATAGAGAAGTGTGTAAGAATAATTAATATAAATTTTAAAAAATATGTGGAATGAGTGCGCTTTATAACTACCTAGTACACAAAATTATTGGATGGTAAATCTGCAGCATAATTTGGAGAAACTATATGTGACCAAGTAAGTCATCACAACTCACAATATTTTTATTTAAAAAAAAAAAATTGTTTTATTTCACGTCATCACAATATAATACGAACTGAGCTTTCACAACACAAGATGGGTCTAGCAAGTAGCAATTAAATTATATTATTATAATATCACACATTACTTATAAATTTATGCCAAATTTTATAACATTTATTATAACTCGATAGCCGACGTAAATAATGCCTACTAAATGAAACCGGGTCCTTCACCTATAAACATGTGCACTTACTCTTATATATTTAGCTACTTAGCCATTCAAGAAAATCAAAACATACAACATAAATCTAATTAATTAAACCTAGCAAACAAAAAATTATTCAAAAAAAAAAAAAAAAAGGGCATGGGTTCTCTCCCTAGGCCACACTTTGTCATATTCCCATTCATGTCCCAAGGCCACATCATCCCCCTCCTCCACCTCTCCCGCCTCCTCTGCCGTCGCTCCTCCTCCACTGCCGTCACCGTCGTCTCCACTTCCGGCAACTCCGCCGCCATCCGCTCAGCCCTCGCCGGCTCCGGCGTCTCGATTCTCGAGCTCCCTTTCCCTGAAAACGTCGACGGCGTGCCGCCGGGCGTCGAGAACACCCAACACCTCCCCTCCATGCAATCCCTCCTCCCTTTCCTCCAATCCACCAAGCTCATGCAACCGATTTTTGAGAAGTTTCTAGGAACCCTAACCCCATCTGTCTCGTGCATCGTCTCGGATGGGTTCCTCGGTTGGACCCTCGACTCGGCCCGAAAATTCTGCATCCCGAGGTACGCGTTCTTCGGGATGGGAAGCTTCTCGAGCACAATGTATCAGGTGCTCGGGAGGGAACGGCCACACGCGGGGACGGTTTCTCTGGACGAGCCTTTCCCCATGCCAGGGTTTCCTGGTCTGATGCTGACCAGGAACGATTTCGACCCGCTTTTCGGTGAGATTGACCCGTGTGGGCCTTACGTGGACTTCATGATGGAGCAGTTGGCGGCCATAGCCGCCAGTCGAGGGATTATTGTCAACAGTTTTTACGAGCTCGAGGGGGAGTACATCGAGTATTGGGACCGGAGGATCGGGCCAAAGGCCCACTGCGTGGGCCCGCTTTGCATGGCGGTTGTTGACGGGCCGTGTTTCACCGACGAGGAGGGGAAACGGCTGGCGTACGTGGAGTTTTTGGACCGGAAGTTGTCGGGGGGCGAGCCGGTTTTGTACGTGGCATTCGGGACTCAAGCGGAGGTTTCGGAGGAGCAAATCAGGGAAATTGCGAAGGGTTTGGAGGATTCAATGGTGAGTTTCTTGTGGGTTTTGGGGTGGAGAGAGGCTGAGTTTTTGGGGGGGTTAGGCTTTGAGGGAAGGGTCAACGGGAGGGGATTGGTGGTCAAGGGGTGGGTTGACCAGTTTGGGATACTCCGGCACGGTGGGGTTGGGGGGTTCATGAGCCACTGCGGGTGGAA